AAAACCAAGATTGAGTTGTTTGGGAAGAACACACAACACTATGTGTGGAGAAAAAAAGGCACAGCACACCAACATCAAAACCTCATCTCCACTGTAAAACATGGCGGAGGGAGCATCATGGTTTGGGGTGCTTTGCTGCCTCAGGGCCTGGACGGATTGTTGTCATTGATGGGAAAATGAATTCCAGACTTTATCAAGACATTTTGCAGGAAAACGTACGACCATCTGTCCTCCAACTGAAGCTCCGCAAAGGATGGGTGATGCAACAGGACAATGACCCAAAGCATACAAGTAATTCAACAAAACAATGGCTGCAACAGCGCAGAATACGCCTTCTGGAGTGGCCCAGTCAGAGTCCTGACCTCAACCCGATTGAAATGCTGTGGCATGACCTTAAGAGAGCGATTCACACCAGACATCCCAAGAATATTGCTACACTGAAACAGTTTTTGTGAAGAGGAGTGGTCCAAAATGACTCCAGATCGTTGTGCAGGTCTGATCTGCAACTACAGGAAACGTTTGGTTGAGGTTATTGCTGCCAAAGGAGGGTCAACCAGTTATTAAGTCCAAAGGTTCACATACTTTTTCCTCCCTGCACTGTGAATGTTTACATGTTATGTGCAATTAAACCATGGCAACATCTAATGTTTGTGTAGTATTATGTTCAGCAGACTGTGTTTCTTCTATTTTTGTGACTTAGATGACGTTCAGAAACACATTTTATGCCCAATTCATGCAAAACTCCACGTAATCCCAAGGGGTTCACATACTTTTTCTTGCAAACTGTATATGATCCGGCATCTCCAAATAGGGGGCGCACGTGCGCCTGCCGTCCCAGTTGTGCTGTAATTTGCTACACCACAAGCTGATCAGCGGGTCTTGGCAAATGATATATGACTGGGACCTGCTGATCGCCTGAGAGAATGACAGAAGAGAGCCCTGTGTTGGTAAATTTACAGTGTCATTAGTACAGTGACAGTGTATATTATTAGCAGTGATCACTGTATTAGTGTCACTGATTATGCCAATGTCATCTAGTTCCTACAAAGTGTCAGATAGTGTCCGATTGACCACTGCACTATCACAGTTCCATTATAAGTCGCTGATCACTGCCATTACTAGTATAAATAAATACATATATATAAAAAATTCCAGTATATACGCCATAACTTTCACGCAAACCTATATATATATATATATATAATATATATATACATACACACAACATACACATTTACTGGGATTTTTTTTTAACAAATACTCGTAGCCGAATACAATTTGGCCTCAATTTGAGCAAAAATTTTTTTTTTTTTTTTTTTTTTATTGGATATGTTTTTTTTATAGCAGAAAACCAAAATTTTCAGTCTTTTTTCATTATATGTTAAAAAAAAAAAAATGGTGATCAAATACCACCAAAAAAAGCTCTATTTGTATGAAATAAATGATATCAATTTCTATTGGGTAGAGCGTTGCATAACACAATTTACCAGTTAAAGCAGCACAGCCCCGAATAGGAAAAAGTGGCCTGGTCAAGAAGTGAGTAAAATCTTCCGTAGCTTAAGTGGTTAATAATAACAGTAATAATAACGAAAATATAATGAAGGGAGAGAGGCTTTATGCTATTGGGGTTGCAAATAACAATAACTAAAGAGTTTGTAATAGCATATATACACTATATTGCCAAGAGTATTGGGATGCCTGCCTTTACACGCACATGAATTTTAATGGCATCCCAGTCTTAGTCCGTAGGGTTCAATATTGAATTGGCCCACCCTTTGTAAATATAACAGCTTCAACTCTTCTGGGAAGACTGTCCACTAGTGGTATGATAACAATGTTTGGCCTGATGAAGGAGTGAGCATGCTCCGAACGCACGCCATCTTGGAAACCCAGTCTATGTGGTGACATCATCCCTGTGAGCCTCCCTGCGCCCCTATGCTACTCCCCGAGCCTTAGACACCACCAGCGGCGGGAAAACACCCAGAGCGTGGCCTAAGGACCTGATACTCCCACTTGACCTCCATTACTTGACATGCCTACCTGTTACCTACCTAAGTGAGTGCAATTTTACCATTAAATCTGCCTGATTTTAACCATCTACACTTAGAGTGGCTCTGCTGTCTCTCTTCTCTAACAAAGTGGAAGCAACTGGGAACAACTGCAACTCAGCCACCAAGTAGTAGGCCAAAATTACAGAGTGGGGAACGCACAGTGTGTGGACGTTGCCAGCTGTCTGCAGAGTCAATAGCTAAAGACATTCAAACTTTGCTTGGCCTTCAGATTAGCACAACAACAGTGTGTAGAGAGCTTCATGGAACAGGATTCCATGGCTGAGCAGCTGCATCTAAGCCTTACATCACCAAGTGCGATGCAAAGTTTTGGATGCAGTGGTGTAAAGCACGGACTCTAGAGCAGTGGAGATGTATTCTCTGGAATGACGAATCACGCTTCCAATGGATATGTCTGGGTTTGGCAGTTACCAGGAGAATGGTACTTGCCTGAATGCATTGTGCCAAGTGTAAAGTTTGGTGGAGGGGGGATTATGATGTGGGGTTGTTTTTCAGGGTTTGGGCTTGGCCCCTTAGTTCCAGTGAAGGGAACTCTTAAGGCGTCAGCAGACCAAGACATTTTCGACAACTTCATGCTCCCAACTTTGTAGGAAGAGTTTGGGGTTGGCCCCTTCCTGTTCCAACATGACTGCGCACCAGTGCACAAAGCAAGGTCCATAAAGACATGGATGAGCGAGTTTGGGGTGGAGGAACTTGACTGGCCTGCACCTCAACCCGAAAGAACACCTTTGGGATGAATTAGAGCGGAGACAGGGAGCCAGGCCTTCTCATCCGGCATCACTGCCTGACCTCACAAATGTGCTTCTGGAAGAATGGTCAACCATTCCCATAGACACCCTCCTAAACCTTGTGGACAGCCTTCCCAGAAGAGTTGAAGCTGTTATAGTTTCAAAGGGTGGGCTAACTCAATATTGAACCCTACGGACTAATATTGGGATGCCATTAAAGTTCATGTGCCATTAAAGTTTAAAGGCAGGCGTCCCAATAGTTTTGGCAATATAGTGTATAAACTACACCTCTTAGTGGATTTTTAATGTTTTCAGTTTACTATCACTTTAAATATCCTGTGCTACAAAAACTAGAAATTCAGACATCAAAGCATATAACCTTTCAAGCACAATTAAATACATTTCCTGCCTTGTTTCTGCATCACGTTCATCATTTTCTGAAAGGAAAAGAGATATTACTATAATGATACCATGTTATATATTTACCATAATTGTCCTCCACCCTATAATTTCTTCATTATCCATTCCTTCTTCTTTTCTCTTTAATGCTCTTCATTCTATCCCTTCATTTTTCCTGTTTCTCTCTCTTCCTACTTTTCTTCCCTTCTTTTTTTTTCTCCTCCTAGGTCAGCCCTTCCATCATCTCTTTGTTCCCTTTCCTTAAGTCACTCCTATCTCCCTCTCAGCTATTTCTCTTTCCTACTTCTATCTCTTCTGCTGTTCTCCCTCCTTCATCCCTGTCCCCCTTCTGTTCTTTCTTTCCTATTCCATCTATGTCCACCCTCCATTCCTCCCTTTTTATCCTTCCTTCTTCCCCCACCTCTTTCTTCAATATATTTCCCACCCTTGCTTCTTCCTTCCCTATCCTCCCTTCCTTCTTCTGTTTAATCCTTTCCTTCTACCATTCTTTTTCCACCCGTTACTTCTTTCCTCCTTTCTCCATCTCATTCTTTCTCCATCCCTGTTCTATCTTTTTTTTCTCCATGTAATCCTTCCTTCTCTTTTCTTCTCTTCCTTCTTTCTCCTCCATGCCTCCCTTTCTTCTTTTCTCTCTCCTTGTAAAATGGGCATTGTGGTAGGCTTGTTTTGGCACCATAACACTAGTCCCTACCCTACTCCAGCCTTGTCCCTCCTGCTGAGGTCAAACCCTCCACATTCTTCTGCCCTACTCTTTGCCATAAGCCTCCACACGACATTCCAGTCCATAGACCTTTATATCCAGAGGAAGAAATGTAAACACAGCAAATAGTTTCAGTACACTTTACTGGTGTTGTTCAGGAAATGGCATTATAGTCACATCACAAGGACATAGATTCTGGAGTCACCTAACATACATAGTCAATCACATTTAGTGGACGGTCCGCAGTAGTCACAGGTGAAAGCATGTTCAGCTTCTCAATAGCCATCTTCCTACAGTCTCTCCTCTAACCCAGGGTCATCAGTACTCACAGGATTGTGCTCTGGATAGACACCTCCTAGCTGGGTACAGCTCACCCAGGAAAACTCCAGGGAAGCAGCCTCACACATCCACAGCCTTCCCTTTAATGGCATCCCAATATTAGTCCGTAGGGTTCAATATTGAGTTAGCCCACCCTTTGAAACTATAACAGCTTCAACTCTTCTGGGAAGCAGCCACACACAGGATCTACAGCTTAGCCTAAAAGGCCTTTTGCAATCCACCCTAGCCCCCACCTCCTTAGGGGACAGAATTACTACAGCCGACTCCTCCTACATATAGGTCTACTCCACCCAGCCCCCTGCTCTGTCCAGGGTCTATGTGTGTTGGCTACATGCTCACAGGTATGGGGTATGTAGCTCCCATGGCCCAAGAGAGCGTCTGTGTCCTCTCCCCACCAGATTATATGTGGCTTCTGGCTCACCCCTGAAATTGCTGAGGGAGGGCTCTGCCTAACACCTCATGTCACTACCTGCTGTACCAGACGCTATTCTCTTATTGAGCTACCTATTGGCAAAGCAGCTAACTGCCCCTGCCTACATTCTGTCATTCCTTTCTCCCTTCTCCTTCTTTTCTTTCACATGACAGATACATACAGTATATAGATAAATATATATGATCTGCGTTTTTTTTTATTGTTGCCTATATTAAGGAGAAGCAGTAATGATGTGTGAAAATTAAAGCAATTATGGCTGTAATAACATTTCATTTTACTCCCCATTCCTTCTTCCATCTAATCCTCCCTAGCAGGGGCGGACTGACCATTTGGAAACTCGGGCACTGCTCAAGGGCCCGGGGTCAGTAGGGGGCCCCATAAGATGCCCCTGGTACCTTTTTCATAGGCTTTTTTGAGTTTGGGCAAGGACACAGGGGCCCCATGATCCCCTATTGCCCGGGGGCCCCATGAGTTGTCAGTCCGCCCCTGCTCCCTACTGTTAAACAGGACAATTCGGTTGGTTGCAGGCTGGTTGGTGAGTTGAGCTAGGAATTGTTCTTTGTTGTTGTGTAACATGCATAGCCCTACCATGTGCTCCTTGCTGCAAAGGCCAGTTATATATTGGGGCAGCTGCCATTTGTTTGTACTAATCCTCCCTTCTACTTTCATTCTTCTTTTCCCGTTACCATCATATTTTCCAGTCCTGTCCTCCTTTTCTTCTTCTTTCCATCACATACTTTCTCTATTCCTGTCCTATCTTCCTTTATTCATTTAACCCTTCCTTCTTTTTTTTGCTTTTTCTCAACTCCATCCTTTTTTTTTTTTCTTTTCTTTTCTTTTTCGTGTCGTTCCTTCCTCCCTTTCTTTATTTTTTTTTCTTCCATAGAACAGACACATATAAACACTGTATATATGATCCAACCTTTTTTTTTTTAATGTTGCCTATATTAAGGAGTAGCAATGACAATATGTGAAAATTGAAGCAACTGTGAATGTAAAAACATTTAGTTTTACTCTCAAGTACATAACCATGAACATGGCCAAACAAAGAACTGCTATTTGACAATAATTGTGTGAACTCATTCCATCTGTGTAACACACCTCCCATATATATTGGAAACTATAAATCCGTTCTTCAGTCTTCATTACTCTTTTCTTGAGCTGTCTGCTGTGTATATTCTAGTATTGTACCCATAATTGGATCCATCATTCCACCATCCGGGAGTGTGATTAAAGCTTTCTACAAGGATTACAGAGCTTGTGGTATTTCCAGTTGTAGCTATTAGAGCAAAACATATTTAAAATGTTATTGGAGACAATCTGTTAAAGGTTGAACTTGATGAACCTTTATGTTCTTCCACCCTTATCTCCAACCATACTGTTATTAGTGCATCATTTAGACCAGGGGTCGAAAACCTTTTCCATATAAGGTGTCATTTTTACGAACATTAAACACCCTTCATGCCAATAGTCATATAATTTATTTTAAATTTTTTGCATTCATAGTTGTATTGCTAATGGGAAATTAACCTCATTAATCATTGTTATATTTCTTAGTGCACACACAATACATACTTATATTTGGCCTTAGATGAGCTCCAATGCATGAACCTTCAGACTCAGATCAGCTCCAGTTCCTGCACCTTCAGACCTCAGATAAGCTCCAGTTCCTGCACCTTCAGACCTCAGATCAGCTCCAGTTCCTGCACCTTCAGACTCATATCAGCTCCAGTTCCTGTACCTTCAGACCTCAGATCAGCTCCAGTTCCTGCACCTTCAGACCTCAGATCAGCTCCAGTTCCTGCACCTTCAGACCTCAGATCAGCTCCAGTTCCTGCACCTTCAGACCTCAGACCAGCTCCACGTCCTGCACCCTCAGACCTCAGATTCATTCTGATTCTTCAGGTCAACACCAATAGGGATGAGCGAACCAGGCAAAATTTGGTTGGCATAAGGTTTGGAGAACCTAGTAAAAAATCTGCCAAACCTGAACACAGTGCTGAACCCCATTGAAGTCTATGAGAGCCAAATCTTGTTTTTTTACTGGCTTTTTTTTTTTTCAAGACCAGTTTGGAAGCGGTTGTAAAAAAAAGGATTGGATAGCTGGGCATCACTATAGGGAACATGAGCCAATGCAAAAACATTTACTAAAAATACTGTTCAGCAGGATGAGGGTCTTTTAAAGAGTAGATGGTCATAAGGTAAAATCATATATTAATTTCCACCTTGTATTTCAATAATTGTTTGCCTCCTCTTTTTATTATAAACAATCCTGAAATTTGTAAACTTACTTTGTAAAGATCCTCGCACATTTACTTCCTTGACTTCTGTGACACGTAGTCACTATGCCCTGTAAGTAGCACTGCTGTGTCACACATTTCACAGAGCCTGCCTTCTGTACTACAGAGGGGCTGAGAGGAGGAGTTTCAGGAGCTGGAGCCAGTACAGGAATCACTGCTTGCAGGCAGCCATGGGATATGCAGTCCTTATATATTGATAGTAAACATAAGAGGTGAAGCTGCAAAGCCTGCAGGGAATCCAGGATGTTGTAGAAGTTACAGACAAGCAGATATTGTACAGGATTCCAGAGATGTGTCCAAGATGGGATATATGTGTTCCCATTATTTGGATTGTGCTCCTTTAAAGGGGGATGAATTGAATGCAGTTTGGAGTACTCACAGATGCATGGTGAGGGGTTCCTGTTGGAAAGGAGTACACTGGCTTGCGGTTTGCCCAGGACTGGTAGCTCTTTATATGGGATTCAGAATTCAGAGGCTCATAGAGACTTTGGGTGAGAAACAATCCAATTGGATGTCTACATTCCCCATTACGGACTGTTACTCAGCGCAGTGTTGTCCCAGCTGTTCTTTTATGATGTGCCTTGACTTTATTGTCGTTTGTGAGTACAACACCTATTTTATTTCTTATTAAACATTTTTTATGGTAATGCACTAGGCCTGTGCGCCCTCTCTTTGTTCTTTCCGCACCCAGAATTATCCCTGTGATTGGCAATCAGGTCAGGAAGTAAATATTGCTATGTAAGTGTATATTGTAATGTACAATTTTATATATATTGACTCTAATTTTGATTTTAATATGACAAAAATGTTCTCTTCGCTTGTTCTACTGATGAAGCTCTATGAGTGAAACGCATTGAGAAAGAAACCTCTGTTGCTGCTAAGACGAGTGAACCCCTGGACCATTTGATACAATTCTTGTACATAGCAAGGGGTGGGTCCCTTTAAGGATGCAATTGTCATGTTAAATTATTATATACGCTGTAGCCTCATCGTAGAGGTAAAAGTATTGCTTACATTTGTAATTAATAATGTGAACACATAAGCAAAAAGCCTTTAGGTAATAACTTGAATCTATAGAAAATGTTTAAAGCCCCATTTACCTATTATGAGCTATTGTGTTCTATTGTATTGATAAGTACAGTATGATGCTGGCCATGGTTTAACATGAGCATTTTCCAAAGAAAAAAAAGGAAAACCTACAATAAAGAAAATCACAGTTTATCAAACATAGTATTAGTAGACATCAGTAGGTTGAACCCCTTGCTGGCATCTTCTTTCCCCAGCACCCCTGCAGGTAGGATCTCTGTATGAAATTAGAATGGAGGCAGAGAGCTGGAATAAGCGATTTCTTATCATTCTGCCCGTTTCCTAGCAGGTTGACTAAAGTTCATAGATCAGAGTCCCATGCATGTGCAACCAGCAACATAGCAATCTTTTGAAGAATAATTTCAGCCATCGTTAAAAACAACCAATGCGCAGGTGTGCTAAAATCAGAAATATCATCACTAATATTACCTAAAAGAGTATCTAAAAAACAACTTTTACAGTTCAGTTTTGGAGGTAGCAGGTTTTTACTACTGCCTGTGCCCTGCAGGGGAGAGTAACCCACCAGGTGTGAATAAATGGGTAATTTTCCAATGGGGACATGCTACAACTGTCTAGGTGGGGATTTTCCTTACTTTGTTTTCCTCAAAAAAGGAAATTAAGGAACATCTCCCCAATAGGACACAGAGAGAAAAAAAACAAAGTACAAATTACAGGGTTTTAGCACATTCTTTTCCAATAATTTTTATTAGAAATAAATGACAAGTTACAATGAGTACAGCATCCATTTCCCATATAGAGCTGGTTACAGGCAAATTTCAATAAACAGAAATCTGGAAGTAGAATACCATATATTGCTTGGTCAGGTAACATGGCGGTAACCAGCCAAAAGATCCAAGCACACTCAAAGCACCAATAACAGAATCACCAATAAAGTAGTGTCATGTTGATTCAGTTTTGATTCAATTTGTACCATTTAGTTAGCTATAAAACCCATATGATTCTGATTGCTTCTGTCAAAAACAATTGCAGACTTGCATAACAGAAAAGACCCAAATGACCAATAATGGTTAGAGAGAGAGACCAAAATATAAAGAGAAGATGAAAAGAGTGAGAGACTCATTATGCCTCATAAAAAATACATTGGAGTGTTTGCTTTCCAAAATGGGTCATTTTGTGGGTGTTTCCTCTGTCCTGGTGCTCCAGGGCTTTCTAAAGTGTGATAGGTTGTCAGGAAATTAGATGTGTAATGTTTGACCCTAGAACGCCTAAAGGTGCTACTTGGATGTTGGGCCTCTGTATATGGCCAGTCTGTGGAAAAGTCTCACACATTTGGTAATGCCACACTAAGGAGAGGAAAATGTATTTTGTTTTTTTTTTTGTATTTACATGCTTTGTGTTAGAAATATCTTATAAATGGACAGCTTTGTGTAAAAAAACAATACGTTTTCATTTTCTTCCCACATATTCTTTTGGAAAAAAACTTTTGGAAATAAATGACATATACAAAAGACTCATTGTACCTCACAGAAGATACGTTGGGGTGTTTTCTTCTCAAAATGGGATCATTTTGTGGGTAATTCCATTGTCCTGGTTCATAAGGGCCTTCAAAGGTGTAATAAGTAGTCAAGATATTAGATGTGTAATTTATGTCCCTAGAACACCTGATGGTGCTCCTTGCATGTTGGGACTCTCTATGTGGTCAGGCTGTGGAAAAGTCTCACACATTTGGTATCGTTATATTCAGGAGGAGTAGCAGAATGTATTTTGAGTTGTAGTTTCAAGTATGCCTGTGCTGTGTGTGAGAAATAACTTGTTAATATGACAATTTTGTGGGAAAAAATTACAAAATCAAAAAAAAAACGCACATGCCTCTTACTAAATACTTTGGAATGTCCACTTTCCAAAAAGGGGTCATTTAGGGAGTATTTGTACTGTCCTGGCTTGTTAGGGCCTCAAGAAATGAGATCGGCTATCGGCACATCAGGTGTGATCAGGTGTTATTATTATACAGTATTTATAAAGCGCCAATAGTTCGCTCAGCGCTGTACATTACAGAGGGGGACAGAACATGTGACAGAACAATACCAATACAATGCAAAACATGAGGGGATTGAGGGCCCTGCTCTTTCCAGCTTACAATCTAAGGGAGGG